AGAAATGACTTGTAACGGAGAGAAAGCGGGGGTGGGGGGTAGAGATTCAGTGAAAGAGTCACATAATTAAAGAGGACCTGTAAGCTAGTGTAGATATGGCACATCTGTTTTGCTCCCACCTATTGTATGCTGAAAATCTATGTATCCATCTACTTCAGCCTTCACTTCTTGTTGCCGCCTACTGTGGCCGTATATTACCGGGATGTTTCTTTATCAGACGCTGTATGTTTTTTTCAGTGCCTCGAACAATATTTCACCTTGTCTCTGTTTTGAATTTAAATCGGCAACCCCTTACTTCAAAAAACCAGGAACAATATTTCCATCATCTACATGATACTTTAGAGCAGTGGTTCTCAACCTTTGTCAGTGGGAGGAACGCCGCAACCCCTTAATACAGTTTCCTCATGTTGTGGTGACCCCCAACCATAAAATTCATTTTCGTTGCTACTTCATAACTGTAAATTTTGCAGTAGGAGGAATAGTGCCCCTTCCATTTCAGTGGAGGTGTCATGGGGAGGAATTAGTGCCCCCATCAGTGGTGCCCCATCATTGGTCAGTGGGGAGGAATAGTGCCCCATCATTGGTGTCAGTGGGAGGAATAGTGCCCCATCATTGGTATCAGTGGGAGGAATAGTGCCCCATCATTGGTGTCAGTGGGAGGGAATAGTGCCCCGTCATTGTATCAGTGGGAGGAATAGTGGCCCCGTCATTGGTGTCAGTGGGAGGAATAGTGCCCCGTCATTGGTGTCAGTGGGAGAAGGAATAGTGCCACCGTCATTGGTGTCAGTGGGAGGAATAGTGCCCCATCATTGGTATCAGTGGGAGGAATAGTGCCCCATCATTGTGTGTCAGTGGCAGGAATAGTGCCCCATCATTGGTGTCAGTGGGATCCCATCATTGGTATAATGGGAGGAGGAATAGTGCCCCATCCTTGGTGTCAGTGGGGGGAGGAATAGTGCCCCATCCTTGGTGTCAGTGGGGTGAGGAATAGTGCCCCATCCTTGGTGTCAGTGGGGGGAGGAATAGTGCCCCATCCTTGGTGTCAGTGGGGGGAGGAATACTGCCCCATCCTTGGTGTCAGTGGGGGGAGGAATTGTGCCCCATCCTTGGTGTCAGTGGGGGGAGAATTGTGCCCCATCGTTGGTGTCAGTGGGGGGAGGAATCATGCCCCATCGTTGGTGTCATTTGGGGGAGGAATCGTGCCTCATCGTTGGTGTCAGTGGGGGGGAATAGTGTCCCATCGTTGGTATCAGTGGGAGGAATAGTGCCCCATCATTGGTGTCAGTGGGAGGAATAGTGCCCCATCATTGGTATAAAGAATAGTGCCCCATCCTTGGTGTCAGTGGGAGGAATAGTGTCCCATCGTTGGTGTCAGTGGGAGGAATAGTGCCCCATCGTTGGTGTCAGTGGGAGGAATAGTGTCCCATCGTTGGTGTCAGTGGGAGGAATAGTGCCCCATCATTGGTATTAGTGACACCAATGATGGGGCACTATTCCCACTGACACCAATGATACTTACCTTGCAGACCCCTGCTCCAGCCTGGGCTCGCTCGCTCCCTCCCTCTCCCATGGTACCAACACTTACCTGTCAGATGTCTTCCTTCTCCGGCCGCTCTCCTCCTCTTCACTCGCTGGATCTTCGCGGTGCCCGCTCGGCTCCTCCTCTCCAAGCTCCACCTCTTTGCCGGTGATTGGCCGCCTGTGTGCCTCTCCTGAGCTACAGTGCCGGCGGCCAATCACAGGCGAGGATTGATCTCGAGGTGTGTCCAGATGACAGGGGCGGCATGTCATCCCGCCCACACGTATGAATACTTGATGGCGTTTTTCTTTGCAATTGAAGAGATTAACAAGGATCCCGACATCCTTCCCAACGTTACTCTGGGCTATCACTTGTTTGATTCATGTGGGTATCCAAAGAAAGCAATAGATTTCATCTTCAGGATACTCTCTGGTTATAGAAGATATGCTCCAAACTACTCTTTTATGGAAAGTTCAGAGGTTGTTGGCTTTGTGGGTGATACCACTTTCCTAACAACACTGGCCATGGTTGAGGTCTTGAATATTTACCAGTACACACAGGTAGATTGCCACTTCTGAAACATTATTTATCTATACAGGTCTGGATATGCAATGTATGCAAGCTGGAGATGTCTCAGGAACAGGGGCAAACTGACCACTCGGGCACTGCTTGAAGGCCCAGGATCAGTAGGGGGCCCCATGAGATGCCCCTGGAACCTTTCATAGGCTTTTTTGGGTGTGGTTTGAGTGTGGGTGAGGACACAGGATCCCCATGATCCCCTATTGCCTGGGAATCCCATGAGCTGTCAGTCCGCCCCTGCTCAGGAATACTAGTTAATAGAAAGTTAAAGAAGATTTTTACGATCCTGCCCACTATTACCTGGTAGTGAGTTTCTTCTTGGTACTCTAGAGAGTTCTTCTCGAAACTCACCCACCCTGCAGGTCCATCACTGTCCAGCTGAGATCCTGTTCTCTGGCAGTGGTTGGTCCCATGCCATCATGTTCTATTGTGATGTCATCGATAGGTGGCCAGATGTTCTGGGTTCAGCCTCCCAATGGCACAACACTAGACCCCCCCCCTCCTTGTTTCTCCAATGAAAGCCTATGCCTTCTGGGTTATGTGACGTGAGTATCCCAGGAAGCAAAGGGGAGACCTAGGCGAATGACATGCGGGGGCAACAATTCATGTTAAAAAAAGGTAACTAAAGGAAAATAAAACCCAGCCCTAATCATGCAGAGGACAGGAGGAGGTGTGGAGTGGAGGGATGTAGTATTGGAGGGTGAAGATCACCTTTACATATCATTCTTTGGTGCCAACCAAGTAGTGGCTATAAAAAAAAAGTTGGAATTTTGGTGTCACTCCTTTTTTAAGTCAGTTGTAAAGCCACATCTACAATATGGGGACAGCTGTGGGCATCATACTGTAGAACTGGACAGCATGGGCTGCAGAGGTCGTGATTGCAACCCCGACCCTAGCTCTAGGGGGCCCGTGCGCTCTCTCCTGGTCATATTAGTGTAGCCAAGCGCTCTGCCCCCCACTCTCCCCGCTTGAACCCCCCCCATACAGTGGCTTTTCCACTATCACGTACCCCAGTGATGGAGGCCAATGGAGAGAGGGCTTCCCTTGCAGCTAAGTTCCAGACTCCCCTGGATATGGGACAGCAGGAGTCGGGCCCAAAGAAGCACGGGTCGCCTGTAGGAGTGCTTGTCAGAGGTACACCCAGGAGCACAGCTGATGCACTGGAATGGAGTTTGCAGACAGGTGGCACCTCTGAGAGGTATGCAAGCCTTCAGGGAAACAGAAGACCACAGGATAGTCGGTTCAAAACCAAGGTCAAGTGCCAGGTGGAGATTGGAGCAGACGTAGTCAATAGGATAGCTGGGGTCATACACAGAGGAGCGGGGGAGAATATCCGTTAGCCAAGCCAGGGTCAGGTCAGGAGTCAGGCAGAGAAGACAGATCCAAGAGCAAGCTGGGTCGGTAGAATGTACGGGATGTATGGGGGTGTAGGGGATATACGGGGTGTATGGGATGTACAGGATGTATGGATGTACGGGATGTGTACGGGATGTACGGGGTTCATGGGATGTACGGGGGTATATGGGGATGTACGGGATGTACGGGGTGTATGGGATGTACGGGGTGTATGGGATGTACGGGATGTATAGGATGTATGGGGTGTACGGAATGTATGGGGTGTATGGGATGTATGGGATGTACAGGGTGTATGGGGTGTACAGGGTGTATAGGATGTATGGGGGATGGGTACAGGGTGTATAGGATGTATGGGGTGTACAGAGTGTATGGGATGTAGGGGGTGTATGGGGATGTAGGGGGTATACAAAGGATGTCTCCTTTTGCTAGAAAACATATGTAATGGGATGTATATTACAGAGTGTAAAATCTATTTCTTCATAAATTATGGGGGCCAATATGTATTCTGCTACATATTGCCCCAATGAAAATATTAGGGCCGCCTAATTTCCACACAAATTTAGGCCAATATGTATTCTGCTACATATTGCCCCAAGTATTGGCCCGCCGGCCTTTCCACACACATGGACTTTAATGGCCCCCCAGTCTTAGTCCGTAGGGTTCAATATTGAGTTGGCCCCGCCCTTTGCAGCTTATAACAGCTTCAACTCTTCTGGGAAGGCCGTCACAAGGTTTAGGAGGGTGTCTATGGGAAGGTTGGACCATTCTTCCAGAAGCACATTTGTCAGGTCAGGCACTGATGTCGGGGGAGGAGGCCTGGCTCGCAGTCTCCGCTCTAATTCATCCAAAGGGGTTCTATGGGGTTGAGGTCAGGACTCTGTGCAGGCCAGTCAAGTTCCTCCACCCCAAACTGGCTCCTCCATGTCTTTATGGACCTTGCTTTGTGCACTGGGGGGCAGTCATGTTGGAACAGGAAGGGGCCATCCCCAAAATCTTCCCAAAAAGTTGGGAGCATGAAACTGTCCAGAATGTCACCTTAACCCCTTGACGCCGGCACCACCTCGCTTTAAGGGTTTCAGAAGCCGGGAGGTGGGACGGGGTTTTAGGGTCATGTGCTCCCGTGATTCGCCGTCACAGCGGTCACATGATCAGGAAAGGTCTCAATCAAAAAGAAAGAGAACTTTCTGTGAGTACCGGACATTTGTGCTGGTAGCACACAGGGTGTGCACTCTCAGCACATATGTTTTTTCTTAATTGCACACAAATGTGTCAAGGCCCAGACGCCGGGAGGCCGCACATTTGCGTGCGACTGGCACCAAGAGATAAGCCCCCCCCTCCACCAAATTTACACTTGGCACAATGCAGTCAGGCAAGTACCGTTCTCCTGGCAACCACCAAAGCCAGACACACCCATTTGCAGACTGCCAGATAGAGGAGCGTGATTGGACACTCCAGAGAACACGTCTCCTCTGCTCTAGAGTCCAGTGGCGGCGCATACTTTACACCACAGCATCCGACGCTTTGCATTGCACTTGGTGATGGAAGGCTTGGATGCAGCTGCTCGGCCATGGAAACCCATTCCATGAAGCTCTCTAAGCACTGTTGTTGGGCTCATCTGAAGGCCACACCAAGTTTGGAGGTCTTTAGCTATTGACTCTGCAGACAGTTGGCGACTTCTGCGCACTGTGCGCTTCAGCATGCGCTGACCCCGCCCTGTCATGTGACGTGGCCTACCACTTGGTGGCTGAGTGGCTGTTGTTCCCAGTTGCTTCCACTTTGTTATAATCCCACTAACAGTTGAATGTGGAATATTTAGTAGCCAGGAAATGTCACGGATGGACTTATTGCCCAGGTGGCTACCTATCACGGGACCACGCTTGGAGTCACTGAGCTCCTGAGAGTGACCCATTCTTTCACCAATGTTTGTAGAAGCAGTCTGCATGCCTAGGGGCTTGATGTGTACACCACCTGATTGTGAATCCATTGGGAGGGGATTGGAACACCTGAATCACATGATATGGAGGGGATTGGAACACCTGAATCACATGATATGGAGGGGATTGGAACACCTGAATCACATGGGGGGATTGGAACACCTGAATCACATGATATGGAGGGGATTGGAACACCTGAATCACATGATATGGAGGGGATTGGAACACCTGAATCACATGATATGGAGGGGATTGGAACAACTGAATCACATGATATGGAGGGATTGGAACACCTGAATTACATGGAGGGGATTGGAACACCTGAATCACATGATATGGAGGGGATTGGGACACCTGAATTACATGATTGGGAGAGGTTTGGAACACCTGAATCACATGATTGGGAGGGCGGGGGACAATACTTTGGGCAACATGGTGTATCTGCATAATTTGTTTTTAATAACACACTGAAATTTTTTTCTTTCACTGTCACTAATATGCAGATATAGTAAGCAGAAATAGTAAAATAGATACATTGTTGTTTTCAATATTATATTATTACAGGTACTTATATAATGCCATCAATTTACGCAGCACTTTACACATATATATATATTGTACATTCACATCAGTCCCCCCTAAGGTCCCTCCCCGCCCAATCTAAGGTCCCTAACCCTCAAGGGGCATACAATACAATCTAAGGTCCCTAAGGGGCTAAGGTCCCTAACAATACAATCTAAGGTCCCTAACCCTCAAGGGGTACAATCGCCCCTACAATTAAGGCCCCTAACTCACATTCATACATACACATACTAGGGACAATTTAGACAGGAAGCCAATTAACCTTCCAGCATATCTTTGGAGTGTGGGAGGAAAACCGGAGTACCCAGAGGAAACCCACACAGGCACAGGGAGAACATGCAAACTCCAGGCAGGTGGTGCTGTGGCTGGGATTCGAACCAATGACCGAGTGCTGCAGGCGGAAGTGCTAACCATTTAGCCACTGTGTTGCCCGTAACCTTGTTACAATATATTTGTGAATGAAGCCTGAAGTGTTTGCAGTCTCCCTTCACACAGGAGCTGCTGCTAGCACTCCTGTTACGCAAAAAGAGGATTTGCATCCAAAAACATTGAATTGGGTGAAGTCAGGGCTTCAGGAATATGAATGTATTTTCACTTTTGCACTCAAATGTGTTTTTATGGCCCCCTCACCACCTGCTTTAACCCCTTGGATCCTGCACAAGCACCCCCATTCAATTGAAAGTGACAGGGGGTATAACTTCTGCTACAGCTATGAAGCAAAGAATTGCAGCGACATATGTACACCCCTGGCCTCTGTCTCTGCAGCTAAAAAGGCAGCAGTTAGGGGTGGTAAAACCACTGCTCTCAACCACAAGGTTTTACCACCTCCACCCACATGTGTGAATGAGCCCTAACAGTGCTAGCAGTCAGTGTCCCCAATCACCGCTATACCAGGCCAGTGTCACGAAAGGGCCTCGACCACATGTGGGGTGCTTTCTGCAGCACAACCTCCCATGTGAATGAGCCAGAAAAGTGCAGCCAGTTACAGTGTCCAAAAACTAAATCGGCGGTCAGGAAATTAGATGTGTAATATATACCCCTAGAATGCCTGAAGGTGCTCCTTGGATTTTGGGCCTCTCTATGTGGCTAGGCTGTGAAAAAGTCTCACAGATATGGTACCCCCTTGCTCGGGGGGGAGTAGCAGCAAGGCTTTTTTTTCAGCAGGAATGTGGGAAAATGCAGTTCCAGCAGCACCTCCAGTAATGAATGTATTTAATTGCAAGAGGTGGTGGGGTGTCCAAAAACGAATTCGGTGGTCAGGAAATTAGATGTGTAATATATACCCCTAGAAAGTCTGAAGGTGTTCCTTGGATTTTGGGCCTCTCTATGTGGCTAGGCTGTGAAAAGTCTCACACACATGTTACCCTCTTACTCAGGGGGAGTAGCAGCAGGGCTTTTTTTCAGCGGGAACACGGGGGGGGGGGGGGGGGGGGGGGGGAACACAGTTCCGGCATCAACAGCACTGAATGTATTTATTTGGAAGAGGTGGTAGGGTGTACTGCAGGGTCCATTGATGCTGGCTGCTGGTCGATCTATTGTCATAGGAGGGGATCTATTTTTTTTTTTGGGGGGGGGGGGATTGTCTATTGATGCTGGGGAGGTCTTCTTTTGATAGTGGGGGGTCTGTTGTTTGCTTGGGAGGTCTTATGTTGCTGTGGGGTCAATTGTTGCTGGGAGGGATCTACTATTGAGGGCAGGATCTATTATTGCTATCTGCTGGAGGGTCTATTGATGCTGGCTGTGGGGAGACCTGCTGATGTTGCCTGGGGACCATTGCTGATCGGGTGGGGGGTATTTTGTCGCAGGTGGTCCATTGTTGCTGGGTGGGGGTCTATTGCTGCTGGCTGCAGGGGATCATTTTGCTGCTTTTCTTGTTATCATTACAAATTCCATACAAATTGATACTTGGTTCTGTACTCTCTAAGAGGGCGGCGGTACTGGGAAGCAGGTAAGGGGAGGAAAGCAGGGATGGTGCGGGACGGAAGCAGGGCGTGACCGGAAAGAAAGAGTTCCTGAACCTATTCTTTCAGAAAAAAAGCCCTGAGTAGCAGAATGTGTTTTGGGGTGCAATTCTTACTATGCCCATGCTGTGTGTGAGAAATATCTTGTTATTTGACAAATTTTGTTAAAAAAAAAATACATTTTCATTTTCATTCTGCATTTTCTAAATATTTTGTGGCAAAAAGATGAAATCTTCAACAGCCTCACCACACCTCCCAAAACCCAGGAGTTGGAAGTTTGTAGGGACAGATTGGACTTAGGGGACTTCGGGTCGTCTGCTGGAGGTAGTTTGTGATGAAGGAGGTCTTTTATGCTCAAATGCTGTACAAGGATCCCAGGACTTGGGTCAATGAAGAGAGAAACGGGGGTAAAGTACAGCGTTTTGAGGAGGTACTGGGTAATAGGTACATAGGCAGCGCCTCCTCAAAGGGGTACTGGGTAATGGGTGCATAGGCAGGCAGCACCTCCTCAAAGGGGTATTGGATAATAGGTGCAATAGGCAGGCAGCACCTCCTCAAAGGGGTACTGGGATAATAGGTACATAGGCAGCACCTCCTCAAAGGGGTACTGGATAAGGCGCATAGGCAGCACCTCCTCAAAGGGGTACTGGGTAATAGGACGCATAGGCAGCACCTCCTCAAAGGGGTACTGGGTAATAGGTGCATAGGCAGCGCCTCCTCAAAGGGGTACTGGATAATGGGTGCATAGGCAGCACTTCCTCAAAGGGGTACTGGGTAATGGGTACATAGGCAGCACCTCCTCAAAGGGGTACTGGATAATAGGCGCATAGGCAGCGCCTCCTCAAAGGGGTACTGGATAATAGGGTGCATAGGCAGCACCTCCTCAAAGGGGTACTGGGTAATAGACGCATAGGGCAGCACCTCCTCAAAGGGGTACTGGGTAATAGGTGCATAGGCAGCGCCTCCTCAAAGGGGTACTGGATAATGGGTGCATAGGCAGCACTTCCTCAAAGGGGTACTGGGTAATGGGTACATAGGCAGCACCTCCTCAAAGGGGTACTGGATCAGCGCCTCCTCAAAGGGGTACTGGGTAATAGGTACATAGGCAGCGCCTCCTCAAAGGGGTACTGGGTAATAGGCGCATAGGCAGCACCTCCTCAAAGGGGTACTGGATAATGGGTGCATAGGCAGCACCTCCTCAAAGGGGTACTGGATAATGGGTACATAGGCAGCACCTCCTCAAAGGGGTACTGGGTAATGGGTACATAGGCAGCGCCTCCTCAAAGGGGTACTGGATAATGTGTGCATAGGCAGCACTTCCTCAAAGGGGTACTGGATAATAGGCGCATAGACAGCACTTCCTCAAAGGGGTACTGGGTAATGGGTACATAGGCAGCGCCTCCTCAAAGGGGTACTGGGTAATGGGTACATAGGCAGCGCCTCCTCAAAGGGGTACTGGGTAATCAAAGGTACATAGGCAGCAGCCTCCTCAAAGGGGTACTGGGTAATAGGTACATAGGCAGCACCTCCTCAAAGGGGTACTGGGTAATGGGTACATAGGCAGCGCCTCCTCAAAGGGGTACTGGGTAATAGGTACATAGGCAGCACCTCCTCAAAGGGTACTGGGTAATGGGTACATAGGCAGCGCCTCCTCAAAGGGGTACTGGGTAATAGGCGCATAGGCAGCACCTCCTCAAAGGGGTACTGGATAATGGGTGCATAGGCAGCACCTCCTCAAAGGGGTACTGGGTAATGGGTGCATAGGCAGCACCTCCTCAAAGGGGTACTGGGTAATGGGTGCATAGGCAGCACCTCCTCAAAGGGGTACTGGGTAATAGACGCATAGGCAGCACCTCCTCAAAGGGGTACTGGGTAATGGGTGCATAGGCAGCACACCTCCTCAAAGGGGTACTGGGTAATAGGTACATAGGCAGCACCTCCTCAAAGGGGTACTGGATAATGGGTGCATAGGCAGCACCTCCTCAAAGGGGTACTGGATAATGGGTACATAGGCAGCACCTCCTCAAAGGGGTACTGGATAATAGGTACATAGGCAGCGCCTCCTCAAAGGGGTACTGGATAATGGTGCATAGGCAGCGCCTCCTCAAAGGGGTACTGGATAATAGGCGCATAGCAGCGCCTCCTCAAAGGGGTACTGGATAATGGGTGCATAGGCAGCACTTCCTCAAAGGGGGTACTGGATAATAGGCGCATAGACAGCACTTCCTCAAAGGGGTACTGGGATAATAGGTACATAGGCAGCACCTCCTCAAAGTACTGGCTTTTGCCCTTGTCTCGGGGATCTAAAGGCGTGCCCATCCAAAACCTGAGCCTCTCGTTAATGACCCAAATTCTGAAGTCTTGCACAAGCATTCGATCATGACCAGGGGAGTAAAGATGGCTGCCCCCCTTTCTCTTGGACCATTACCTTCTCCCTTCACATTAATTAACCACTTGGACAACCAGCTGGAGTTAATGGCTAAAAACAGCCTTTTATTACAACAATAAATAACATTTGTAAATAATGTAAATCCACTATAAGTGGAGCTCATCAGGTCCCAGAAGGCATCAATAAACAAAGCTACCTGCGTCTTCCAGGTCCCAGAAGGCATCAATAAACAAAGCTACCTGCGTCTTCCAGGCCCCAGAAGGCATCAATAAACAAAGCTACCTGCCGTCTTCCAGGTCCCAGGTCCCAGAAGACATCAATAAACAAAGCTACCTGCGTCTTCCAGGCCCCAGAAGGCATCAATAAACAAAGCTACCTGCGTCTTCCAGGTCCCAGAAGGCATCAATAAACAAAGCTACCTGCGTCTTCCAGGCCTCCAAAGGCATCAATAAACAAAGCTACCTGCGTCTTCCAGGTCCCAGAAGGCATCAATAAACAAAGCTACCTGCGTCTTC